GGGTGGAGAGTCAGGTGGGCGCGGGGGAGCCGGGCAGGGAAGGGACGTGGGTGGGTGTCAAGAAGACCGGAAGGGAATTCTGCAGGAAGGCTGGGGGAGGGAGGCAACAGAAGGGTGAAATAGGGTGGCCCTTGGTGCAGTTGGGGGAGGAGGGGGTCACGAGTACGGGGACGCGCATGGTGCTCAGGCTCTGACCTGCTCGGGAGGGGTGGGGGCAGCGTGGGTCCTGGGCCGCTGTTGCCGTCGGTCTCCGGCCCCGGACCAAGTCCCCTCCCCGGCTTTTCCGTACCCCCTTGAACCCCTCCCGCTAGGCTCCCGGGCCCCTTCCGCCCTTTCCGCTCCCCCCCGCGTCCGCCCGCTCCGAGAGCAGGAGCCAAAAGGGGAAGGAAGTGAGGACAGGAGCCAGGGCCGCGGACTAGGGGAGCGCCGGACGCTCAGGGACCAGGACCCAGGCGCCCGAGTCCCCAGCTCCACTGTCCTCCGCCTCTACACTCGGGGATTCTGGAGACCACGTCGCTCCGCACTGAACTGGAATAAAGATTCCAATCTCCAGCCCCTGGGGGAAGGCAGGAGCAGAATTTGACATTCCCTTCCCCAACAATAACACGGCTAAAACTCCCGCGGGAAGCGTTTCAGGAGGAGAGAGAGCGGGTCACTCCATCCCCACGGGATTACGCTCCCCACCACAACCCACGAACTCCGCTGACCGAAATCCCGGCCGCGTTTTCCGAAGGGCCCTCGGTTCCCGCCCCCTCGGCAGGGGGCGGGGCAGGAAGCAGCCACATCCGGTTCCAGATTCGGCTCTTTGGGGCTTCCGGCGCCGAGGCAGGGATCCCTGTTGGCTCGGCGTCGCTTTGCGGTTGGAGTGCCCTCCGCTTGAGCGCATCTTATGCGCCAGTAGTGGCGCCCGACCCCGAACGGTGTCGACGGGGCGTTCTCTGAGGGGTTCAAGGTCACTGGAAGGGACCAGAGATGATTGGAATATTCATTTTGCTTGGAAGGGGGTTGGAATGAGAGGCCCGTTTGGAAGCACTGGAATACAACTTTATTCCCACACCATTAGACATGTTACCCCGTCGGTCTGGCCGACAGTCCTGACTCGGAGATCCCTGAGCTGCGCCGCCGCTTCCTTCGTCAATATCCAGCAGCTATTTGATGAGCGCCCTCCAGTGGGTCCTTACGTCCCTATGCCGGCGCGGGGTTACAGCAGTGGACAGACAGGCCGGTCCCTGTCCTCGAGGAGCCCATGATCCGCGGGGAGACAGGCATTTAACGACGACTCACATGATCACTTAAAATACAACTGTGGTGAACCGCACAAGAGGGACGCGCGGCGGTCTGCGGGGAATGACGAGGCCGACCTCGTCTGCGACCCAGGGAGGCCGAGGGTGGACCAGGCAAAGGGAACAGAGGGCTGGGAACTGGAGGTGGGCGGGAGGCGGTTGGTTCATTGGAGGAAAGGAATAGCCCTGTGTGTGATGAGCATTGAGAGGAGGGCTGGCGAGCACCATCTTGGGCTGGAGAATTAGGCAGTGGCTCCAGTGTGGGGCGGTGGGGGGAACACGTGGGCCAGGGCAAGAAGAATGGGTTTGGCCCTAGAGCACGGGTTCTCCAAGTGTAACCTCGGCCCTACAGGTCGCTGAGACTATGTCAGGGGGTAGGTGAGAATGACTATTTTTTATAACAAAATTAAGATGTTATTTGCAACCGAGCACGGTGGCTAACGCCGCTAATCCCAACACAGGGAGGCCGAGGCGGGCGGATCACGAGGTCAGGAGATCGAGACCATCCTGGCTAACACGGTGAAGCCCTGTCCCTACTAAAAAATACAAAATTTTAGCCAGGCATGGTGGAGGGCGCCTGTAGTCCCAGCTAGTCGGGAGGCTGAGGCACCAGAATGGTGTGAACCCGGGAGGCGGAGCTTGCAGTGAGCCGAGATCTCGCCACTGCACTTCAGCCTGGGCGACAGAGAGAGACTGGGTCTCAAAAAACAAAACAAAAAAAGTTTTTTGCCTTCTTCATTCTATGAGAGTGTACAGTGGAGTTTTTCAGAAACTACATGATATGTATTGACACCATGGTTCCCACAATGAATGGAATGTGTGCCTATGTATTCTCGTGTTTTAAGTTTTTCTGTTTTAAGTTCTAGTACCATAAATATTGATAGCTATAACCCACATACCCAAAAGCTTTTTGGAGTCCTTGATGATTTTTAAGAGATCCTGAGAGAAAAAATTTTGAGAACCACTGTCCTAGAGCTCCAAGAAGGTGAATGCCATAAGATGTGTGTTTTTGCCGGGCGCGGTGGCTCAAGCCTGTAATCCCAGCACTTTGGGAGGCCGAGACGGGAGGATCACGAGGTCAGGAGATCGAGACCATCCTGGCTAACATCAGTGAAACCCCATCTCTACTAAAAAGTACAAAAAACTAGCTGGGCGAGGTGGCGGGCGCCTGTAGTCCCAGCTACTCGGGAGGCTGAGGCAGGAGAATGGCGTAAACCCAGGAGGCGGAGCTTGCAGTGAGCTGAGATCGCGTCACTGCACTCCAGCCTGGGCGACAGAGCGAGACTCCGTCTCAAAAAAAAAAAAAAAAAAAAAAAAAAAAGATATGTGTTTTTTAAAAAAGCATTTCTTGGGCCTGGTGCAGTGGCTCACACCTGTAATCCCAGCACTTTGGGAGGCCGAGGAGGGCGGATCACCTGAGGTCAGGAATTCAAGACCAGCCTGGCCAATGGTGAAACCCCGTCTCTACTAAAAATACACAAATTCGCTGGTGTGGTGGCATGTGCCTGTAATCCCAGCTACTCCGGAGGCTGAAACCAAAGAATTGCTTGAACCCAGGAGGCAGAGGTTGCAGTGAGCCAAGATCAGGCCACTGCACTGCAGCCTGGGCAAGAAAGTAACACTGTCTAAAAAAAAAAAAAAAAAAAAAAAAAAAAATTCTCCCTTGTATAAGTGGAAAAAAAAAAAAAAGCATTCCAGCCACTCAGTGGAGAGAGATTGGAGGGAGTAGGAACAGATGATGGGGTATTATTTTGGGGAGCTACTACAGACGCTTGGGCCAGAGATGATGGTGGCTTCCACAGGATGGAGGTGAGTGCCCTCACTCTGCTTTCTGGAAGAGAGGAAGGTGGTGAGGAATTCAGAATATTAGAAGGCAGTTGAGGTGTACATGGTCAGTCCAGAGACATATAAACTATCATGGGCACAGATGATGGGAGAAGGATGAGGCTAACATTTTCTGCCCTCCAGACACTGTGCTGAGTGCTCTATCTCCTACATCTTCTAAAGGAGATACACTGTCTTCCTTAATCCTCCTAACAGTCCTCTCAGGCTCCGCTGTCCAATATGGCAGCCACCACCCACATTTGGCTATTGAGCATTTGACATGTGGCTAGTCCAAACTGAGATGTGCTGACTGTTTAAACACCTGCTTTTGAATACTTAGGGTGGAAAAAGGGCTGCAATTTCTTTTCTTTTTCTTTTTTTTTTTTTTTTTTTTTTTTTTGGAGACAGGGTCTCACTTTGTCACCCAGGCTGGAGTACAGTGGCACAACCTTGGCTCATTGCAGCCTCGACCTCCCAGATTCAAGCGATCCTTCTGCCACAGCTCCCCAAGTAGCTGGGACTATAGGTGTGTGCCACCGTGCCCAGCTAATTTGTTTTGTTTTGTTTTGTTTTTTGAGACAGAGCCTCCCTCTGTTGCCCAGGCTGGAGTGCAGTGGTGCGATCTCGGCTTACCGCAACCTCCACCTCCCTGGTTCAAGCAATTCTCCTGCCTCAGCCTCCTAAGTAGCTGAGATTACAGGTGCGCACCACCATGCCCGGCTAATTTTTCTGTATTTTTAGTAGAGACGGGGTTTCACCATGTTGGCCAGGCTGGTTTTGAACTCCTGACCTCAGGTGATCCGCCCACCTCAGCCTCCTGAAGTGCTGGGATTACAGGCGTGAGCCAACTCGCCTGGCTGAGATTGTAATTTCTTTTTCTTTTCTTTTTTTGAGACAAAGTTTTGCTTTTGTCTCCCAGGCTGGAGTACAATGGTGTGATCTCGGCTCACTGCAACCTCCGCCTCCCAGGTTCAAGCAATTCTCCTGCCCCAGTCTCCCGAGTAGCTGGGATTACAGGGGCCCGTCACCACGTCTGGCTAATTTTTTGTATTTTTAGTAGAGACGGGGTTTCATCATGTTGGCCAGGCTGGTCTCGAACTCCTGACCTCAGGTGATCCTCCCGCCTCGGCCTCAGAAAGTGCAGGGATTACAGGCATGAGCCACCGTGCACAACAGCCTGTAATTTCTTATATTGTTTACATGTTGCAATAATGTTTTGGATGTACAGGTTGAGTATCACCGGTCCAAAAATCTAAAATCTGAAATGTTCTAAAACCTGAAATTTTTTTAGTGCCAACATGATGCCACAAGTGGAAAATCCCACAGCTGCCCTCATGTGATGGATCACATATATTATTAAAAATATTGTGGCTGGGTGCAGTGATTCACACCTGTAATCCCAACGCTTCGGGAGGCCAAGGCCATGGGCGGATCACCTGAGGTCAGGAGTTCGAGACCAGCCTGACCAACATGGCGAAACCTGGTCTCTACTAGAAATACAAAAATTAGCCGGGTGTGGTGGTGGGTGCCTGTAATCCCAACTACTCGGGAGGCTGAGGCAGGATAATCGTTTGAACCCGGGAGGTGGAGGTTGCAATGAACCGAGATCACACCATTGCACCCCAGCCTGGGCGACAGAGACTCTGTCTCAAAAAAAAAAAAAACAAAAAAAAAAAAACAAGGAAACAAAGTCTTCAGGCCATGTGTATAATGTGTATAGGAAACAAATGATTTCTTGTTTAGGTTTGGGTGTGATCCCAAAGATATTATATATGCAAATATTCCAAAGCCTGAAAAAAATCCAACATCCAAAAATACTTCTAGTCCCAAGCATTTCAGATAAGGGACCAGAATTATTAGATTAAATAAGGTATATTATTAAGTTAATTTTATCTGTTTCTGCTTTTTTTTTAATGTGACTACTAGATTATTTAAATTTACATATGTGGCTTGCATTATCTTTCTACTGGACAGCACTGCCTAAGTAACTTTTTAAAATCCCTACACCCAGGGAAACAGATATAGATTAAGTAGCATGCACTAAGAGTCCTACAGTTAGGATATAGTGCCAGGTTTTAACCCAAATCAGCGTGAATTCCAAGCCTAGGTTCTGCCTACCACACCAGCAGCCTCCCTCCATGGGTTTTGAGATAGGATGAGGAGATAAAGTGACAAGGGAAAGATACAGAGAGGTGGAGCAATGTACCTTCTTTGAATCCTTGCAGGTGGACAGGTAGACAGCTGTGGGAAAAGATTGAGAAGGGATGGGATGCCGGAGTGGTACAGGTGGAGGGCAGAGGGATGGGTATCAGGCTTCTGGGAGTAGAGCGGGGAAAAGTCCACCAGCCTCAGGTCATGGTCAGGGTGGGGCTCACACTCACCAGCCCAGCCCAGTGCCTTGAAGAGCCCGAGCAGAAGAAAGGCAGACAGGAAAAGGCCTATGCTGTCCTCGAGGGAGGGTCCTGAGAGACCTGGCAGGCAGAAGGGATGAGAGTGAGCTCCTGTCTTCCCGAAGGCTGGCTCAGGCTCCGCGGAGCTCCCAGCTCTTACCTGCTACCTCCAGGGTGACCTCAGCGCTGCGCCCCGAGGCAGGCAGGCTGGGATGGTGAATTCGACAGGCATAGCGTGCCCCATGCTGCTCAGTGGTGACTGGAGGCGGCTGCAAGTGCCCAGAGAGGCTGACAGAGCCATCGGAATGGTGGCGCAGGGCCGAGAGCCACCTCTGCCCCTCGGCCTTCTGAGAGCGGCCCCCTGGGCCACCCCGGAGTTCCCACTCCACCTCCAGGCCCCCAGGAGGGTAGAAGTGGGACACAAGGCAGAGCAACTCCGGGGGTGCCTCCCCTGGGGCGGCCCATGCAAGGGTTGCTGGCATCAGGGACACTTTGGGGGGTTCTGGGGAAAGAGGACGAAATGAGCATAGGGAAATCAGTCCATACTGTCCTCCCTAAGAGACCCTCAGTTTGCCTTCTGGCTTCCTTAGAACTAAAGAAGGTTGGGTTTCTTCTCCTGAAATGGGGAACCCACTGTCTCTCCATTGGTGCATCACAGAAATACCCATGCCAAAGCCCCTCAAATTCCCAGGAACCCTCTAGCCTCCCATTACCCCTCTGACTCCCAGGAATCCGTTTCTATCTCTACTTACTTACCCAGGCACCCTCTTCTCCATCATCCCTCCCCCATCATGGTCCCCACAATCCAGTGCCCACCCTCTACCCTTGGAGACCTCTGTCCCCTAACTCACTGTATACAGCAAGCTCCAGGGTGACCTGTCCTTGCAGGTATGGCAGGTGTATGGTGGCCAGATAGGTGCCCTCCTGGAAGGGTTGAACTCTAGGCAGCCAGAAGGTCCCATTTCCGGTCCATGGGCCCCATGGCTCATCATCATCCCAAGCAGCAAATGCCACGGCCCCTTCTTGGGCTGCTGGCATCTGGCCATTCAGCCCAGGAGTTGCAGCCAGGAGCAGATGTCCCTTACCCAGGTGCTGGCGTCGCCACTCTAGCCCAAAGGGAGGGGGACCCGCAGCCAGAGATGAGGCGGCCTCAGAGGTGGGGGGCATGTAGGCAAAGCTCAAGTCCAGCAGAGCATCTTGTCCCAGTCTCACTCGAGGGGCAGGGGTATGGGTGAGGACAGTCAGTACCACTGACGAAGATAGGGAGATGAGGGGTTGGGAGGGGCATGAGGGAGAAAAAGAAGGAGAAAAAAATAGAGAAATGCATTATTGGGGAGGACTAAACTGCAGTTTACCCACCCCTCAGAGGACACCTTTTCTGATACTCACCATTTCCTAGCCCTCCCTGCGAATTCCTTTTGCTCTGCGACTGAGTGGCACCTAGTGTGGCTGAGGGTGAGTAGAGAGGTCTAGGGGTGGTGAGTAGGGGCAATGAGGGTATATGGCCTTTGAAGCCTACTCTGAACACATAGCACACTCAAGCTTGGGACTGCAGAATCTGAGGTCACTTCTGACACAACCTGAACCACTCTATCTCCAAGCACCACCCTTGAGGAACCAGGCCTTTCTTGCGTATGGGTGAAGACAATGATTGAGCCATGACTGTCAGTCCTGTGGTGCTGTACAGAACATTTACTGACTCTAGAAGGTTACAGCTATAGCCTAGACCTGAGCACAGACCTCTATGCTCTACTGAAGCAGTACAGTGCAGTGGCTAAGTGCCTGGAGCCTGGCTGACCTGGTTCAAATCCCCTCTGCAGCTTATTTATATGGCCTTGGGCCACTTCATTTTTCCATGGCTCAGCTTCCCAATCTCTAAAATTAAAAGTTGATAATAATAATAGAACCTACTTCATGAGGTTGTTGTGAGGGTTAAATCATTAATACCTCTTGCTACTCAAGTCTATTCAGTTCCCAATTTTAGATAATAGAGACACCTAAATATCAAGGGTGCTTAGAACACTGTCTGGAACACAGTAAGTCTACACACATATTTGCTATAGTTACACCTAACTTAGCATACCCCAAGTCAATAGCATCTCTGCAACATTCCCCACCCTGCTCCAATGCCCATCTTCCCTGTCTTTGATGAATGATCACCAAGCTCTCCAGACACTAAAAGCAAACCCTTGGAGTTACTCAGATTCATTTATTCATTCAGCAACTATTGAGCACTGAAGATGTTCAAGGTATCCTGGTAGAAGACAGAATGGTGAACAAGACAGGCAGTCCCTACCCTCAAATTGCCTATAGTCCAATGATAGACAAGCAAATTGTCAAAAATTATGTGCTATGTGCTTTCCCCACCAGGACCTAACAGATCTCATATCTGTTTCCAACTCAGGTTCTCATCAATGTACATTTAGACAATTACAACAGCCCTCCTATCTGATCTCCCTATTCCTTCAACTCCTCCTTCACACTGTAGCCAAACAAGGTGACTACAAGTCTGATCCCATCATTTACCTGTTTAAAAATCCCAAATATGGGCCAGACGCGGTGGCTGGTTACACCAGACGGGAAGCTGAGGCAGGCGGATCACCTGAGGTTGGGAGTTTGAGACCAGCCTGACCAACATGGTGAAACCCCGTCTCTACTAAAAATACAAAATTAGCCAGGTGTGGTGGCACATGCCTGTAATCCCAGCTACTTGGCAGACTGAGGCAGTAGAATTGCTTGAACCCAGGAGGCGGAGGTTGCAGTGAGCCGAGGTTGTGCCATTGCACTCCAGCCTGGGCAACAAGAGGGAAACCCCATTTCAAAATAAAAAAATCCCTAATACGGCTGGGCGCAGTGGCTCATCCCAACACGTTGGGAGGCTGAGGCGGGTGGATTACTTGAGGTCAGGAGTTCAAGACCAGCTTGGCCAACATGGCGAAAACCCATCTCTACTAAAAATACAAAAATTAGCCAGGTGTGGTGGCAGGCACCTGTAGTCCCAGCTACTTAGGAAGCTGAGATGGAAGAATCACTTGAACCTGGGAGGTAGAGGTTGCAGTAAGCGAAAAATCATGCCACTACACTCCAGCCTGGGCGACAGAATGAGACTCTGTCTCAATAAATAAATAAATAAATAAATAAATAAATTAAATAAAAATCCCAAATACCTAGGAAGTCAGTCGATAAAGGCATAGACTGAAGCCACATGGCCTGGGTTCAATTTCTAGCCCTAATTATTTTTTTTTTTTTTTTTTTGAGATGGAGTTTTGCTCTTGTCGCCCAGGCTGGAGTGCAGTGGTGTGATCTTGGCTCACTGCAACCTCTGCCTCCCAGGTTCAAGTGATTCTCCTGCCTCAGCCTCCTGAGTAGCTGAGATTACAGGCGCCCGCCACCATGCCCAGCTAATTTTTGTGTTTTTGGCAGAGACAGGGTTTCACCATGTTGGCCAGGCTGGTCTCAAACTCCCGACCTCAGGTGATAAGCCTGCCTCAGTCTCCCAAAGTGCTGGGATTACAGGTGTGAGCCACCACACCTGGCCTCTAGCTCTGCTTCTTACACACTGTGTGTCCTTGGGCAAATTATTTAACTGGTTTGTGTCCCATATTTCTCCATCTGCAATATAGGGATAATATTAAAACCTACGGCCTATGGTTGTTGAGAGGAATAAGTGAGATTATGCATATAAAGTGCTTAGAACAGGGCCTGGCACATAGAAAATACTTGATAAATGTTAGCTATTACTGTTTTCATTACCTTCATCATTGTCATGGACTTGCTGGTTAACTTGGGAAAATCATTTATCGAGTATTTTCCCCACTAGTCCAAAGATCTGACCTTTGTCTTTTAAAAGAATCAAGTAAAATAACAGGTTTTTTCTGGGCATGGTGGCTCACATCTGTAATCCCAGCACTTTGGGAGCCTGAGGCGGGTGGATTACCTGAGGTCAGGAGTTCGAGAGCAGCCTGGCCAACATGATGAAACCCCATCTCTACTAAAAATACAAAAAACAAGTTAGCTGGGTGTGGTTGCGGGTGTCTGTAATCCCAACTACTTGGGGGGCTGAGGCAGGAGAATTGCCTGAACCCAGGAGGCAGAGGTTGCAGTGAGCCAAGATTGTCCCATTGCACTTCAGCATGGGCGACAAGAGTGAAACTCCGTCTCAAAAAATAAATATGTACATAATAAAAACAGGCTTTTTAGGCCGGGCACGATGGCTTACACCTGTAATCCTAGCACTTTGGGAGGCCGAGGCGGGCGGATCATGAAGTTAGGAGATCGAGACCATTCTGGCTAACATGGTGAAACCCCATCTCTACTAAAAAATACAAAAAATTAGCCAGGCGTGGTGGTGGGCGCCTGTAAGTCCCAGCTACTTGGGAGGCTGAGGCAGGAGAATGGCGTGAACCCAGGAGGCAGAGCATGCAGAGAACCGAGATCGCGCCACTGCACTCCAATGTGGGTGACAGAGCGAGACTCTGTCTCAAAAACAAAACAAAACAAAACAAAACAAACAGGCTTTTTAGAACAACCAGCCCTCCAAAAGAACTTCTGATGGTTCACTCTCACCTACAGAACAAAGCCCAGCTTTCAAGGTATTTGAACATTCAGCCCCTAACCCACCCTTCCAGACTTCTCCTGCATCCTACAGACCAGCCACATAGAACCCCTTCCTTGTGCCTAGTAGAAGTGGTCATCATTGGGCATCTCTTTGTTTTGGTCATGAGGTCCCTTCAGTTTACAATGTCTTTCCCATTTTCTCCCAAACATCTATCAAGCTTGTCCAACCTCCAGCCCACGGGCCACATGCGGCCAAGGACGGCTTGGAATGCAGCCCAACACAAATTCATAAACTTTCTTAAAAATTATGAGATTTTTTTTCACAATTTTTTTTAGCTTATCAGCAATCGTGTTCGTGTATTTTATGTGTGGTCCAAGACAATTATTCTCCCAGTGTGGCCCAGGGAAGCCAAAAGATTGGAGACCCATGATCTAAATACTCTATGTACTTTAAGGTCATTTTCACTGCTGTTTCTTCCCAGAAATGTCTAGGTCCTTCGGGTAGAAATAATCTTTTTCTTCTTGTTATTATCTGTATGTTCTTTTTAGTCCTAGCTTCTGAGGCCTATAAGGTTAAACTGTTCTCAGCTTCATGGAATTGTTCAGTAGAGTAAAAACAGTATGCAATTTCACTTAGTTTGTCAAAATCCAGAAACATACTTTTGAATTGCTAAAAAAAAGATCCACAGGCCGGGTGCAGTGGCTTATGCCTATAATCCCAGCACTTTGGGAGGCCGAAGTGGGCAGATCACCTGAGGTTGGGAGTTTGAGACCAGACTGAAGAAACCCCATTTCTACTAAAAATACAAAATTAGCCGGGCGTGGTGGTGCATGCTGGTAGTCCCAGCTACTTGGGAAGCTGAGGCAGGAGAATCACTTGAACCTGGGAAGTGGAGGTTGCGGTGAGCTGACATCATGCCATTGCACTCCAGCCTGGTCAACAAGAGCAAAACTCGATCTCAAAAAAAAAAAAAAAAAAAAAAAATCCACAGGATTAATAAACAAAACCTGGCTGGGCAGGGTGGCTCAGACCTGTAATCCCAGTACCTTGGGAGGCTGAGGTTGGAGGATCACTTGAACCCAGCAGTTTGAGACCAGCCTGGGCAACATAGCAAGACCCCATCTTTATTTAAAAGAAAAAAAATTAAAATAAACAAAACCTAAAGGTTTTACAGTTTAACTCTTTTTTTTTTTGAGACAGGGTCTCACTCTGTCACCCATCGAAGGTGCAATCCTCCCACCACAGCCTCCAGAGTAGCTGGGACGACACCCAACTTTTTTTTTTTTTTTGAGACAGAGTTTCACTCTTGTTGCCCAGGCTGGAGTGCAATGGCATGATCTTGGCTCATGGCAACCTCCGCCTCCCAGGTTCAAGCAATTCTCCTGCCTCAGCCTCCCGAGTAGCTGGGATTACAGGCATGCGCCACCATGCCCAGCTAATTTTGTATTTTTAGTAGAGACAGGGTTTCTCCAAGTTGGTCAGGCTGGTCTTGAACTTTCGACCTCAGGTGATCTGCCCACCTCAGCCTCCCAAAGTGCTGGGATTACAGATGTGAGCCACTGTACCCAGCATTTTTTTAGTATTTAGTAGAGACAAGGTCTGGTTATGTTGCCCAGGCTGGTCTCAAACCCCTGAGTTCAAATGATCCTCCCACCTAGACCTCCCAAAGTGCTGGAAGTACAGGCATGAGTCACCTCACCTGGCTCAGTAATATTTTAAAAGAATGGTGAGAATGTATATTTCTTAATATACACAAAGTATATTAAGAAAGTATAAGCCTGGCATGGTGGCTCACGCCTGTAATCCCAGCAATTTGGGACGCTGAGGTGGGTGGATCACCTGAGGTCAGGAGCTCGAGACCAGCCTGGCTAACGTGACAAAACCCTGTCTCCACTAAAAATACAAAAATTAGCTGAGCGTGCTGGTGGGCACCTGTAGTCTCAGCTACTCAGGAGGCCGAGACAGGAGAATTACTTGAACTCAGGAGACAGAGGTTGCAATGAGTAGAGATCACGCCATTGCACTTCAGCCTGGGCAACAGGGTGAGACTCTGTCTCAAAAAAAAAAAAAAAAAAAAAAGGTATATTTGGGGCCAGGCAGCTCACACCTGTAATCCCAGCAGTTTGGGAGGCCAAGGTGGGCAGATCAATTGAGCCCAGGAGTTCAAGACCAGTCTGGGCAACCTGATGAAACCCCATCTCTACAAATAAAAATACAAAAATTAGCTGGGCATGGTGGCACATGCCTGTGGTCCCAGCTACTCAGGAAACTGAGGCATGAGGATCACTTGAGCCACGGAAGTGGAGGTTGCAGTGAGTTGAGATCATGCCACTGCTCTCCAGCCTGCACTGCACTCCAGCCTGGGCGACAGAGGGAGACCCTGTCTCAAATAAATAAATAAGTATATTTGTCAACAAACATTTTAAAATATTTGATAAGACAAGTATAAATGTATATTAGCAAAATTATCAATGATCTTTGACCCTGGAGAGATTTCATTTCTAATTGTACATCAGCACAACAGCTTTCATTTTCTTAAATCCCAAATCAAGCAAAAATGCTTGAAAAGAAAGAGCACAGCAGGCTGGGCGTGGTGGCTCACGCCTGTAATCCCAACACTTTGGAAGGCCAAGGCAGGCAGACCATCTTAGGTCAGGAGTTCAAGACCAGCCTGGCCAACATGGTGAAACCCTGTCTCTACTAAAGATACAAAAATTAGGTGGGCATGGTGGCATGCACCTGTAATCCCAGCTACTGGGGAGGCTAAGGCACGAGAATTGCTTGAACCTGGGAGACAGAGGTTGCAGTGAGCCAAGATCATGCCACTGCAACTGCACTCCAGCCTGGGCAATAAGAGGGAGACTCTGTCTCAAACACAGATAGATAGATAGATAGATAGATAGATAGATAGATAGATAGATAGATAGCAGGCCGGGCACAGTGGCTCACGCTTGTAATCCCAGCTCTTTGGGAGGCGAAGTGGGAGGATCACCTGAAGTTGGGAGTTCAAGACCAGCCTTACCAACATGGAGAAACCCCATCTCTACTAAAAATACAAAATTAGCTGGGTGTGGTGGTGTGCACCCATAATCCCAGCTACTCGGGAGGCTGAGGCAGGAGAATCGCTTGAACCAGTGAGGCGGAGGTTCCGGCGAGTGTGAGGTCATGCCATTGCACTCCAGCCTGGGCAACAAAAGCAAAACTCCATCTCAAAAATAAATAAGTAAATAAATAAAATAAAAATAAAAAATAGCATAGCACCTTGCTTTGACCCCAGTTGTCTGTGAGATACAGACAATCTTACCACCTGGACACTTCCAAGGCTCCCTGTCTGCACGTCCTTCACTTTCTACTTTACATTAGGATTATCTGTGGCAAATCCGCCCAGAACCTCCTGGAGAGCAGAATCTACATCGGATCATCTTTGTGACCCTCAAGGGTACCCAGGGCCACCCCAGAGATTCTAATTTAATTGACCAAGTCAAGCATGGGATTGAATGAGGTTTCAGTATATTTTAGAAACCTCCAACAGGATTCTTATTTCCAGTGTGGACTAAGAACTGCTGAGTCCCAACTCATTCTTGGTGCTAATAAGTATTTATTAAGTCAATGAATAAATTAACACAGTGCCATCTCTTGATAGTCACAACAGGAAAGGCAGCTGGGAAATAGTATGCACATTTTACAGTTGGAAAAACAAACTCAGAAAGCAAAGACCATTCTCATCATCACCTCGGTGGAGCCAGTAGCCCTAGGAAATATTCCCCCCACCAGAGAGAGCCACTGTCTACACAAGAGCAGTGCTCCTCAGCTTCTGCCAGGGTGGGGGCTTAAGACTAAGAATGGAGGTGTAGGCAGAGGTGAGGGTTTCAGCGTGGGTTTCAAGTCTGTCTCCCTGGTTCTGTGGGTAATTCTCAGGAGGGTGGAGGGAAGGGAGGGTGCAGGGTTGGCCTGTCCATCAGGCTGTGTCGCTTACATAAAATCCAGATAGAAAAGCTAAGAACTCTACAGGTATTCTACCCAGGAATACCCCGCCTCCACTGCCAGGACGGAGAGCTCCCAGATATCCAGGTCAGATTCTCCTCATTCTTGAATTATCTGCACAGTCCCTCCCACGTCCCAGCCCAGCAAAGCTTCCGACCCCTGGGCCTCAAACTGCAACGCACCCTGCAATGCAATAGGAACCACCCAATCTCCAGCAGTGTTCATCCGCCACTCGAGCCCACTTGTTTGCGGACCACAGAGCGGCAGCACATCCCCACACGCGGCTGTCAGGGAAGGTCAACGCGCTAGAGTGCAAGAGCCTTTGCTTTGCGGATTGCCGCAGCGCCGGGTGTGGGCGCAGGTGGGGCTAGAGAGCTGGGTTTTGAAAGAGTGAACCGCAAAGCTGAGGATGCCGAGCAAGATACAGATCTGGCAGGAGCTCCTGCCTCTGAACCCCTCCCACCTCGCATCACCTGACAAGTCTCTCCAGGTCTGGTGTCCGGAAATCCCACCTCTTCAAAGCCCCGCCCTTCGAAACATCAGAAAGTAACCCCCTTGACCGCCCCGGCTCTCCCCCCACACCCCCGCCAAGCCGCAGTATTTTTTTTTTAACTGGGTGAGGGCTAGAAGGAGCGGTAGAGATTGATTCATTCTAGCCAAACACCTCTCTTAACAAAAAAAGGAAACTGAACCCCGATTAGCGAAATGTCTTGCTCAAGTCCATAAAGCGAGACCACCGGCTGATCTGGACCCTTAGAATCTACCCACCCTTCACCTCCCCTCCCCAGCTACCTGTTGCCATGGTGATGAGAACAGGCTCCTGCTGAGGCTCCGGCTGTCGTCGCAAGAGGCTGGAGAGGCTGAGGACTGGGCTGGACATGCTGACCATCAGCCAAGCCCCATCCAGGGCCCGCGGGCAGTTCCGCGCCGGGGTCAGGCCGCTGGCCCAGTTCGCAGAGGCGGGGAGAGGGACGAAGCGGCTCATCTCACAGTGTGGTGCGGGGGCGTCCCGGGGGTACCGCCTGAAGGCAGCCTGGAGGAAGCCCGCGGGGTCTGAGTGTAGAGAAGGAAGTTGCAGCTGTAGAGTCACCGCCGGGAAAGGGGCTGGAAGGGCAGCGTTCAGGGAACTTCAAATGCACAGACTACCCCATAGTGAGACTCACTTTATAGAGGGGGAAGCTGAGGCCCGAGGTCACTGCCGGATCTAAAGAAGAGGGGGTTTCGGTGGAGGCGACAGAGGTAGGGGGGCGGCGAGTCCCTAAAGACTCACCGTGCACATTGAGGTAGAGCTCAGGGTCGAGGTCCGGCCGGGGCGGCGGTTCCCCCTGTCCCTGGCGCAACAGCAGTGCACCGGGTCTCTTGGCCAGACCCTTTCCGCTCGTATCCTCCACGAACCAACACTCGATCACCGCGGGTCCTGCCGAGACGGCGGTCGCCAGGCCTGGCGTATAGGGGCGCGAGTGAGGGGCGGCTTGGATATCTGGTGACCTGCCCACTCCCACCCACCCTGGCGTCGGCTCCAGTGGGGCCACCTCCCCCCGCTTCCCTCTAGTTCCTGGGCGATGAGTCGCGGGGTTCGCTCACCCAAAGCCACAGCGAGGAGCAGAGACAGCGACTTCATGGCTCTGCGACCTCCTCAGCCAGCAACCCTCCTCTTCCTCCTTTCACTTTCACTTTCCTCCAAAGGGCGACGGGAGGGGCGGTGGAAATCCCCGCTCTGGTTAGGTGAGGGTGCCTGGGAGACCAGTGTTTCCTCACTGGCCAGGCAGGGACCCGGGAAGATCCTCTCCAGTTCTCACCAGGACACCCCAGTCTTACCGCGCCCTCTTGGACTACACAGCAGCCCCGAGTTCGAGCCCTCCCTAAGCCCAGGCACCCACTCCCAGCTCCCCAACTCCCGTGTGTGCTCTCCAGCATCCACTTGCCCGAAAACCATTACTCCTGCTTTCCCCCATCTGTGCCGCGTCCCCACCAAACACACGGTTGTCGGGAAGCCAAGTAAATGACCAATAAATATTTTAATCACTGTTAAAAAAAATAAAAACCTTGTACTCCTAAGACTTACTCCCTCCTTGTCTCCACCCACTCCTCCATGAGAACGGAGCTGGGAATTTCCACGGGAAGTGGGGGGTGGCGAGGACAGAGGGTAGAAATAAAGAGCGCATCCTTGAAAGGGGGTAGGTTCTAGGACAAGGGTGGGGCTCAAAGGCCTGGTCTCCACGACAACACAAACACAGACTTCAGGTACAGACTACAACCACCTGACCCCTGACCCTGTGACTGCAAGATGCTCAACACGCCCCCTCTCCTACCCTCCTCGTGCACCCTACTCTGTGGAGCAGGGGCTTCAGTGTACCCATCAGAGGGAAAGGAAGGGCTTAGTTCCGGAAATACCTTGGGAGGGAGGGGCTGAGTAGTAGAATGGGCGGGCGATGGTGCAACTGTGGCTCCCCTTCCAGAATATGTACAAGTCCACAGAGATAAAGGAAGACAGAAAGAGTGGTGGGAGATCACCCGGGGGTCACAGCGCCCTTGTATCGTGCTTATTCCTTTTCCCGAAAGCTACCCCACCCCAGTAGCCTGCCCCTTCAGTTTGCTCCTCCACCTCCACTGAAGCCCATCTCCACCTTGTGGACGCTGGGTGGGGACCAGACACGTCTACTGGACGGGGGCGTGGCCGCACTTGCTTCATCGCCGCTGCCCCCGCCCGTTCCGGAAGACTCTCTCTTAGAAGGCAAGGAAGGCCCCGTGGGCGTCCCAGGCCCAGGTCCGGCTCCGCCCCCACCCAGGCGGTGCCGGCGCTCACAGTGTCCTCGGTGGCGCATGAAGCTGTCTCGCCACATGAACTTCTTGGCGCAGACTCCGCACTCGTAGGGCTTGAGACCTGTGTGCGTCTTCATGTGCTCAGTCAGATGGTGCTTCATCTTGAACTTTTTGTTGCACACGGGGCAGTCAAACGGCCGCAGATTGAGATGCATGTTCACGTGCCGGTCGCGCATGCTCTTGTGGGAGAAGGCCTTCCCACAATGGCACAGAAAGATCTTATTCCCGTCCCCGCTGCCAGTCCCTCCAGGGACCCCCCCAACGCTACCCGGCACACCCAGGCTCCCCACCGACGTGCCCCCCCCAGTCACTGCCCCGTGTTCTGCTTGGTTCCCTGGTGGTTGGCCAGGAGCCTGTGAGGAGGAGGATGAAGACGACGGGAAGACCAAGATCTGGTTGCCCTGCATGTCCAAGGGAAGAAGTGGTCGAGGAGGGTGGGAGGGTGCATAGGAAGAGGGAGTTGGCCCCCCTGAGTCATCAAGACCTGCCCCAGGACCCCCACCCTCGTATGGGCCAAAGTCATTGGAGGACTCACAGAAGTTAACCTGCTCCTCTCCCTTGTCTGGGGGCTCACTCAGGGTACGGACATCACTTATGCTGAGGGTAGCCTCAGGCCCTCCCCCTACTGGAACCCTGGAGCTACCCCCTAGCTCTTCATCTTCATCATCCTCACAGGTCAACACCAGGTCTTCCTCTTCCTCTTCCTCCTCCAGATCTGGGTCTTGGGGAACCAGCGGTGCTGGTGCTGGGCAATTACCACCTCGCTTCACGTATACCCAGTGTTTCTGTGGCACGATGCTAGGGGGTGTGTAGGTGGGTCTCCGGACCCCAGTCCCAGGAACCACTGCCCCCCTCCCATCCCCACCATCATCGCACAGCTCATCTGCCTCCAGCAGCAGCTTTCCAGATGTGGCCCCCCCACTGCCAACGACAGGGGCTGGGAACACAGGGCCACCTCCTCGACGCTCCCCACTGCCCACTGCAGAAGCTGCAAATGCCTCTTGAGAGGAAGATGAGAAATCAGTGGACTCCCTGGGGCTGAAGTAGTTGCTGCTGCTGGGAGATTGATTCTCACTGGCCCGGCTGGAGGCATGGGAGCGTGCAGAGCCCATGGTAGCAGGGGCCACAGTGCCCCCACTCCCGGATGGGACCCCAGCACCAGGGACAGTGACAGAGGTGGCTGCAGCAGTAGTGATGGTGGTGGTAGCTGAGGCCCGGCCTTCTCGGAGTAGTTCAGTGCACTTGTCCACAATGTGCCACATTTGGAGCACAGACCCCACTGTGAGGAAGTTGACAATGTCAGCAGCAGCCATGCTGAGGCGGCCAGTGTAAGCGGAGGCTAGGACAGTCTCAAAGGCGCCTGGGTCCATGACACTGGGCAGTGAGATGGAGGTCATGCCCTTGAGTAGGACCTGATCATGGAAGTAAGGGGAGGAGGCAGCCAGGACAGCCCGATGAGCCCGGAACTCACGGCCCTGCACTCGGATAGACACATCGCAGAGCTGGCCCTGCAGACGCTGCTGATTGAGGGACTCCAGGAGGGCACTGGTCACCTCAGGGAAGGACACATGTACCACCGCAGCTGCTGGCAGGGGTAGTGGGGGCGGAGCCAGCGACAGCGGCAGGGGAAGTGCTGCCCCACTGGGAGACAGAGGAGATGGCTCCATGTTGTGGAGGGAGGGGATACCCCCCCAGCCACAGGAACAAAGAAAGGAAGAGGGCGGCCGGGGGGGTCTCTGGGAAGAAAAAGAGAAAAGAATAATGATAACATCTTATAACGACACAGCCCATTACAACTCAAAAATATGTTCACACCCATTATCTGTGTAACTCCCCACAACAGTGAGGTAGGTATTCCTCTCAACCCCATTTGACAGATGAGGAAACTGAGGCTCAGAAAGATTACAAGATTATCCAAGGTCACACAGCAAGTGGCACCGCCAGCAAACACAGGTATCTGACAAATCCTGTGCCCTTTCCTTGGAGGTTAGAGAAATAAGGTGCTCTTAGCGGGTGGAGTGGCTTCCTTCGGAATTACACCCTATTTCCCATTTACCTGGGAGTCTGACATTCCAAAATCTACCCTTTTGGTGTTTTGCACCCACTTTTTGGGAGGGGGCAGGGCAGCTCCGCTACTGAAAACCAACTCTTGCTCCATCTCCCCTCCATGCTATGCCCCGCAAGCTCTCTCGTCGACCACGCCCCCTTCACCCCAGCTTCTCTCTAGCCCCGCCCCTTTCCAGGCCCGCCCCCGTGCCCCGCCCACTATCGGGCCTTTCGACCCCGCCCCTTGTCTACCTCCGCCCACAACGGACCCCGCCCCCCCCGCTCCGCCCCAGGCGCTACCTCGGCCACTTCTCCCACTCGGAAGGCGCCCCCCAACCTCGCGCGTCCCCGCTTACCGGGCCGCGCGCCCCCGGGCCCCCCCCGCCCCTCACTCGGCGGCCAGAGCAGCAGCCTGGGCCCCTCCCGCCGCCATCTTGCGCCGACTTCCTCCGCCCTCCGCCTCCGCTCCGCCTCCCGCCCCTCTGCCTTTAAAGGCACAGCCGGCCACCCCGCCCGTGCCGCTGGGCAATACTCGGCCGACTCGGCCACTTTGCCTTTAAAGAACCGTCGCCTCATTCCACCTTAAAAGATCAGATTCCCCCTCCTCCGCTGGGAACTCAGGACTTGGTTCGGCCGAAGCATTTATTCCCCTTTAAAGCTATAAGCCTGTCTTTTCCCATTGGCGATGGGTTCAGGTATCGTTCCCCAGGCTCCGCCTCTGAGCTGTGACCATTAGCTGGTTGGTGGGATCTAATCGCCCTTTTCCTAGCTCCTTACAGCCCCCTGAAGCCCCGCCCCCTTTCTCCGGGCCTGGATTGGCCAAATAACCTTGAGTCGGCCCCTCATTGGCTTTTTCACTCCTACTGCACGAAGTGAAAAAGTAAAGTGCGTTAAGGCGGCTGAAGCACTTAAAAAAAAAAAAAAAGTACAGCCTGAACAACATGGCGAAACCCTGTCTCTACAAAAAATACAAACAACAAAAACAAAAAATTAGCCAGGTATGGTGGCACGCGCCTGTAGTCCCGGCTACTCGGGAGACTGGGGCATTATCACTTGAGACTGGGAGGTCCAGGCTGCAGTGAGCTGTGATCGCACCACTGCACTCTGGCCTGGGCGACACAGCGAGACAACAACAACAAAAGACCAGGCTAGAAAGGACAGATCGGGACTACCCCGGGGATATTGGGCTAACCCTGAGCAAGGGGACAGCTAATGCCAATCTGTAACAGTAGAAGGACAAGAAAAAGACAGTGATACAGTAAGAAAAGAACTTTATTATTAATGTTTCTGTGTAAAACTTAAGCTTTTTTTTTTTTTTTTAAAGAAACACCACCAAAAGGGGATTAGCTTAGTCCATCCCTTCCTCAGTCATCTGCTTCCCACATTCCTCCACATGCTATCCCAAAACATTCTGGAGGCAGGGAGAAGGGGAGGCAGCTAATCAGAGTCTGAGAGCACGATGATCTCTTCTGGATCGCATTGTGTGGCCACACTTGTCTGCAGGGAAGTCAGAGACAAAGAGTCAGAGATCTAGAGTACAGGAGAAAAGAAACAGACAGGAGGATTTACAGGATAAAACGGGTGGGAAAAAGAGACAGGATGTGGCAGGTGCAATATTCAGACAGAGCAGCTGAAACAGACAATGAAAGAGAACAAATTATCAGAGGAAACACGGCCTCCCCTTCTTACCTTGTAAGTACTGGGCCGAGGAGGTTGTGATTGGGGGGTTTGGGACAGCTGGGCTGGAGAAGGGATGCAGAGGGAGCTGGTCACCAGGCCATGGCTGGGAGAGTCCACCCTCGTGGAGGAATCAGCAACCGGAGCCAAGGAAGCCAAGGGGGAAGGTGGGCTGGGCAGGGTACATATCTTTTTCCCATTCTTCTCATGCACTGACCTTTGCCTTTCCACATAGCTAGAAACCGAAACATAAATATGCGGAGGGGTAAGGGAAGACTGAGGCTGGAGGAGGGCAGTCCAGTCTCTCCCAGCAGACTCAGTTCCCCAATATTCCTCTCCGAAAGTCCCCTGCAATCCCTCCTTGGCTTCCCTCTTCCTCCTCCTGTTGTTATTACCTGTTTCCTAATGGCCCTGATCCTGTTTGCTTCTTCTCCTTCCGAGATTTTTTGCAGGGGGGACCAGAATCTCCCCAGTTGTGAGGAGAGACGCCTCCATTGAAGGAAGTAGAAGAGACCATGCCTGCCCCATTCTCTAAGACAGTGGTGAAGGGCTCCTCTGATTGCTTCCTGGAAGAGGAAATGTCCATCTCCACAGAGGAAGGGGTATCCAGGGGCAAAGCTTCAATCTCTAGCTCAAAGAGCTGAGACACAGGGCTTTCTTCCTCCAGGGTCAGCTCCTCAGGCTGTTCTCCATTGCTTTCAGCATCTATGCTGGAGGGGGCCAGGGGTTCTTCTGACAGTAACAAGGGTGACACTTTGTTTTGCTGCTCCCCTGAAGACCTGCTGATCTGTTTGCCAGGTTCCAGGTTCTTTTCAGTGGAGATCTGTGGTGAGGACATGGGGCTCCCGTCTCCATCTTTACCTGGAAAAGAAGAAAAGGGGAGAGGGTAGCCCGAGAATGAGGGGAAAAAATACTGCTGAGAGGACACTAGGAGGAGGAAGGGAAAGGTCTCAAACAGGTGGCTTATGCCTAACAAAAACAAATGACAGGTGAGGAGAATGTTCCCTTGACATACCTGCTGCTTCTTCCTCTTCCTCCTCTTCATCGTCCTCCTGACCCTCCTGCATCTGTTCCAGATCCTCCTCCTCTTCAGAATCTGTGGCCTCCTCCTCTTCTTCTTCTTCCTCCTCCTCCTCCTCATCCTCCTCCTCTTCCTCATCACTCTCTTCATCTTCTTCGTCATCTGTCTCAGCTTTGGAGGCAGAAGGGCACCCCTGGGATGCCATTCCACTAGGGCCCTGGGGGACAAAGAAGTTTCTCTAAGGAATCCCTTGCCCTAGAGGGTTTGGTTCTTGCATTCCTTCTCATGCTCCCCCATCAGTCAACCTGGACTCCCTGGTGGCCAGTGCAGGGGAAGGACAATGTCTCTCTGAAGGCTTTACCCCATCCACACCTCACCAGAATCCAAGGAGGCGGGGGTGTCTTCAGAGTGGGAAGAGGTGCCTTGGAGCCGAGCTCTTCTCTTTTTTCTCTCGCCCTCCTCACTTTTGTCTTGCAACATTGCATATTTGGAGATGACCTCATCCAGCCGACTCATGGCCAAACTCCGGTTTTCCCGAAGGCGCCGGGCCAACACAGGATCTGATAGTGCAGGGTCAATGCCTACGTGGGAAAATATAAAGTCAGAGCACTCAGCCGTGGAAGGGACTAGAAGAGTACAAACCCTAGAAAGGACTAGAGAGATGCCCCATCCGCCTCATACCTGACATATAAGGGTCACTGAGAGGCATCCCACTAACCCCCTACCTGGCCTATAGTCATCTGTGAGGTGGCAGCCAAAGTTGTAGATGAGATCGAGGTGACGTCGTTCCTGTAACCTGATGCCCACATCTCGGAAGGCATCCTGAGCCATGAGCTGGAGCTGCTGTCGGGGGAGGCCAAGGCTGTGTCGGGCAGCTGCCTTCTCTACTGCCCGAAGCACATCCCCATAGTCAGGGAAGGTATCAGGCCCTGGCTTGTTGATGAGCCGCTCAATGCGCCTGTTAACCTCTGGGTAGCGGGTGCCACGGTAGGTGATGCGCTGCTCTATGACACGGCCGGTCAGTGAAGAGCAGTCTTTCAGCTCACACAGTCGCCCAAAGAGGCGGATTAGCTTACGCTTCAACCGTGCCTCCTGCAGGTATGTGGAGTCTGGGTCATCCAATTCTGAGAGATCCAACTCCTTTTCCTGCAGCCGCCTGATCTCTGCCACATAGAGCGCCAGCAGCTGCTCCAAGCGCTGGATCTGCCGCCGGGAACCACGGGTCCTTGGGGCCTGAGAGGCAGTGTTTTCAGCGTTTGTGGGGTCCAAGGAGAGGTGTGTGGGAGGGTTATTCCCAGAGGGCTCATTGGACGTGGTGGCAGCAGGGGCCAAGTTCAGCTTCTTTTTGGCTGAGTGGGCCTTGAGAACAGTGCAGAGCTCATTGATGTAGACATAGAGCTTAGATGGCCGGCTCTGGGCCCGAGATAGGACCCGAGAGAGGATGTTGCAGAACTCCGCCGAGGCCAAAAACAGAGAGTGGGCACGTTGCTGCCGGTTAGAGAGGAATGGGACCACCTCAGGGTGGTCCGCTGTCTGCGTCTTACAAAGTTCAAGGAACTAGAAGGTTCAGGGGAAGAAGGAAGGGGAAGAGAGACAAGGGAGGGGGTTGAGAGAAAGGGGAGTGGGGTTAGTGGGGAAGAAAGGACAGGAGAGCCAGTCAGCCATCCCCCTCCCTGGGGTACAACGATCTTCCCCGCTAAAGCTCACCTCTTGGAACAGCTTCTCATTCTCCAGCTTGTAGCACTTCTTGCCGCCCGAACTACTGCTTCCTCTGGCCCCATGAGGCTCAGAAGAGCTAGGGGCTTCTGCCCCTGGTGAGGCTGTACTGGGGAGTGGGTGGGAGGGCCCTGGCTGAGCAGCTGCTTCATCTTCGTCATCATCATCCAGCACAATGATGCTGTTAGCGGTGGCCATGGGGGAATCAAATCCCCCGGAAGGAGGAAGTGGTGGGGATTTCAGAATTCCTGCTGGAAGGGCATGGGGCCTCAGAATGAGCCCCTCCAGCATAGCCCCATCCCTTCACCTCACGCATTTTCTGAACTCCTTGGGTTTCAGCCCTGACCAACACTGTCTTCACCACCTGATTTCAATAACCATTAGTTCTATATGCTTTTCGGGCCCTTCAAGTGGTGTGTGGGGGGGGCAAACCCCCCCCACACCTTAAGTTGCCACCTTCTGCTCCACCCCTCACGTCGATTTCCGGTCTTTCTGTTGCATTTCCCCACTCTTTCTCAGAGTTGGCAAGTTGGTTCTTTCTCCCACACTGCACCCTAAATCGTCCTGACACCCCCTGGCACAGACAACACACTCCTGTGGGCGCCACCTCATGTGTTTGCCCCCTCTGCCCTCAAACAAGTCAACCCCACACCCGCCCCATCCTGAATGATCACCCCAACTCCTAGACTCTCTGAGGTGAAAGAGGTTCCCTCCCAACAGTCCGTTCTCTTTTCCCCTCCTTGAATTATCTCCGTATTTCACCCTCAGATGAGTCTCCTCAAACTGGGCCTTTAGGTTGAAGATATTTTACCCAAGTCCCCTCCCTTTCACCCCACCCTAATTTTCCCCATTCTCTCGGTGACCTGTAACTAATTAGAAGTCCCCCCGCACCGCGCTACGCTCTCCCGATTCCTCTTAGATCCCAACCCTGGGTCCGGCCGGTCCGGTAGATGCGCTTCCCGCCAAATCCCCCTCCCCCAGTTCAGCCCCCGGCCGCCCCACTCCCTTTCAGGGATAGGAAGGTACCACAGTTTTCCCCTCAGACTCAGAGCCCGGCTCTCCCCAATACCTCTGCCTCGATATCCCCGCCCCCGCCTCTGATCCCCGCACCATCCGGCCCCCACCTCAGAAACCGTCTCTCGAGGCGACCCTCGCCGCAGATCTCAGAACCTCGCATGGTTCCCTCCGCCTTCCTTCCCACTCCCACCGCAGGCCCCACTACGGACCGGAAGCAACAGAGTTTCCGCCTGCATGCAACTAAGCGCCGCCATATTGTCGTACGGAACAAGGCTTCCTGTGGCCGGAAGCGGCCGTAGGCCCGCCCCGCGAACACCTCCAGTGCCGCCCACATAGTCAGCGCGGTCTTCCAGGTCGGAGTTTGTCTCCCCGAACCCGGGCGTCCCAAAGCAGCTGGGGGCCGCCATTTTGCCGTACGGCGCTGGCTACGCCAGAACTTCGGTGCGCAGCCGGAGGAGCTCTTTTCACCGGGTGCTTCTCTGACTCCGCCAATCAGAAACTTCCTCCCTGGGGTCCAGCCGCCGGCGAGTAGCGCGTGGGGAGAACGGAGCCTCCGTTCCAAGGAGGGGCAGGGGAACCGAACAGGGTGGTTTAGGAATTAGGCTTTCCAAAGCTGCGTAGGGTTTCAGGGAATGGCAGAAGTCTCTTAAAAGGGAAGTAAAACCTTTATCTTCAACTAGGCTATTGGCAAGCTATCTGGCCCTGCTTTCCTGTCCCCCAGGTTCCCATTTCCACGGCTTATTCGGCTGACCCAGCCCCTTCCCCTGCAAGGGCGGCGCGCTCCTTGCCGCTGTCCAGCAGCTGCTTCTACTGCCAGGTGCTGCGTCCCACAGTCGTTATAACACATGCGTACAAATAAGCACAATGCGCCATACAAAAGTGTTATTATTATTACTATTGTTGCTGATTTGCTTTTCAAGCTTCACCACAGAACTAATGACCAGACGGTTGGGACCTGAATGGTTCTCCTCCAGAGGGGGTCCTCGAAGGGCCGTCGGTGCTGACTGTGAGGCCGTGCTTTGTCGTGGAGGCCCAGGGTCTGCGGATGGGCGATGATGGGGTGGGGCTTGGAGGAGAGTTTGAGCCTCTGCAAGGGCTGCTGTGAAACGAAATGAGGCTCATAAAATACTTTGGGTTTCCTCCTCCTCTTCTGGGAGAGGGTAAAAAAGAATGAAAGATGAAGAAACAGACTTGATACCCACCTCGTTGAGTTTAGGGAGGTTGGAGGGAGTCGTGGAGGCAAGGCTGGGTCCAGAGGTGAGCTTATGAGGAAACCAGAAAGATTAACAAGGTCCCAATCGCAAAGATTCCCATTTCCACAAGTGGTGGGCATCTTGCCGCTTAACTAGGTTCACAGAATTTACTACATCCCTAACGCTGAGTCATAGAATCGCAAACACCCGTCCATTGAACAATCCCACATCACTTCTCTCCAGTCGTCAAAGTCTACAGCTTTCAAAATGGGGAACATAAAAAACCTCCGCGAGGACTGGAACTTGGGAGATGTAAGGGATTTAATTTCCAGAACCTCAACTTTCCCAAAATTGGTCTTCCTAAGGAAACACCTGCAGTACAGGTTCTCATTCTTCACTTCTCCTTTTACAATAGAGACACCCTCTTAAGAAAAAAGAAAAGAATAGTTCTCTCTTTTTCCCCTCCGCCCTCAAAAGTGTAGTTCTCAACCATGAAATCTCCTGGGGTATTCTTACCTGTTTAAAATAAAGGGAGATGTACCCTGTTTCTTTCACTAAGGCACCATGAACACCTTTTCTTTTTTTTCTTTTATTTCCTTTCTTTTTTTGTTTGTTTGTTTCTTTTTTTAAAGGCAAGGTCGGCCGGGCGCGGTGGCTCACGCCTGTAATGCCAGCACTTTGGGGGACCGAGGCGGGCGTATCATGGGGTCAAGAGATGGAGACCATCCTGGCCAACATGGTGAAACCCCGTCTCTACTAAAAATACAAAAAATTAGCTGGGCGTGGTGGCAGGCGCCTGTAGTCCCAGCTACTCAGGAGGCCGAGGAAGGAAAACCGCTCGAACCCGGGAGGAGGAGGTTGCAGTGAGCCGAGATCGCATCATTGCACTCCAGCCTGGGCGACAGAGCGAGATTATCTCAAAAAAAAAAAGAAAAGAAAAAAAGGGTCTTGCTTTTTTTTTTTTTTTTTTTTTTTTTTTTGAGATGGAGTCTCGCTCTGTCGCCCAGGCTAGAGTGCAGTGGCCGGATCTCAGCTCACTGCAAGCTCCGCCTCCCGGGTTTACGCCATTCTCCTGCCTCTGCCTCCCCAGCAGCTGCTGGGACTACAGGCGCCCGCCACCTCGCCCGGCTAGTTTTTTGGGTTTTTTTTTTGTTTGTTTGTTTGTTTTGTATTTTGTGGTAGAAACGGGGTTTCACCGTGTTAGCCAGGATGGTCTCGATCTCCTGACCTCGTGATGCACCCGTCTCGGCCTCCCAAAGTGCTAGGATTACAGGCTTGAGCCACGGCGCCCGGCCAGCGTCTTGTTCTATCAACCAGGCTGGAATGCGGGTACGATCATAGCTCACAAGCCATCCTCCCACCTCAAGTAGCTAGGACTACAGGCGCACACCACCTCGCCCGGCTAATTTTTTTAAAAAAGTTTTTTGTAGAGACCGGGCACGGTGGCTCATGCCTGTAGTCCCAGAACTTTGGAAGGCCGAGGCGGGCAGATCACCTGAGGTCAGGAGTTTGAGACCAGCCTGGCCAACATGGTGAAACCCCGTCTCTACTAAAAATACAAAAAATAGCTGGGTTTGGTGGCACGCGCCTGTAGGCCCAGCTACTCGGGAGGCTGAGGCAGGAGAATCACTTGAACCTGGGAGGCGGAGGTTGCAGTGAGCCGAGATCAGCCACTGCACTCCAGCCTGGCGACAGAGCAAGACTCAGTCTCAAAAAAAAAAAGGTTTTCTTATAGCAACAGAGTCTCACTATGTTGCCCAGATGGATCTTGAGCTCTTGGCCTCAAGCAATCCTCCCACCTCAGCGTCTCAAAGTGCTGGGTTATGGGGTGAACCGCCACTCCCAGACTACTATCTTATTAAAAATTTATTTTTAACAGTTATAAAAATGTGTACCATCGGCCAGGCGCGGTGGCTCACGCCTGTAATCCCAGCACTTTGGGAGGCCAAGGCAGGCGGATCACAAGGTCAGGAGATCAAGACCACCCTGGCTAACACGGTGAAACCCCGTCTCTACTAAAAATAAAAATACAAAAAAAAAAAAAAAAATTAGCAGCGCGTGGTGGCAGGCGCCTTGTAGTCCTAGCTACTCAGGAAGCTGAGGCAGGAGAATGGCATGAACCCGGGAGGCGGAGCTTCCATGAGCCGAGATCCCGCCACTGCACTCCAGCCTGGGCGAAAGAGCAAGACTCCTTCAAAAAAAAAAATGTGTACGATCACATGTTTATAAGAACATTCTGTTCTTATAATAATTGTAACAGTTACTCCAGAATAATTTTTAACAACTAGAGTCTTACAAACACAAGAAAGATATTTTTCATCTCCATTAATATATATGTATATGCAGGAAGATGTAAAAGTTTGGTCAATAAAGGACTTTCAAGTATAAAAGCATAAAGTTTGTGGGGAAGTGGAGTAGTAGTAGGAGCTCAAGGAGAAAAGAGGCGATGAAAGAAAAAAAGGAATGATTCCCAACTGGTAAGAACTTATTTATACTTTTTTTTTTTTTCAGACAGAGTCTTGCTCCGTACCCAGGCTGGAGTGCAATGGCACAATCTCGGCTCACTGCAACCTCCGCCTCTCAGGTTTAAGCGATTCTCCTGCCTCAGCCTCCTGAGCAGCTGGGAATACAGGCGCATGACACCATGCCCAGCTAAATTTTTGTATTTTTTTTTTTTTTTATTTTTAGTAGAGGTGGGTTTTCGGCATATTGGCCAGGCTGGTCTCGAACTCCTGACCTCGTGATCCACCCAACTCGGCCTCCCAAAGTGCTGGGATTACAGGTGTGAAGCACTGCACCCGGCATCACTATGATATTTCAATTCCACTGGACAATAAATGGTGATCTAATTGTTTTATTTTAAAATGCCGGGCCAGGCATGGTGACTCATGCCTGTAATCCTAGTACTTTGGGAGGCCAAGGTGGGCAGATCACTTGAGGTCAGGAGTTTGAGACCAGCCTGACCAACATGGTGAAACCTTGTCTCTACTAAAGATACAAAAAATTAGCCAGGTGTGGTTGTGGGTGCCTGTAATCCCAGCTACTTGGGAGCTAAGGCAGGAGAATCCTTTGAATTTGGGAGGCGAAGGTTGCAGTTAAGCCAAGATCGTGCCACTGCACTCCAGCCTGGGTGACAGAGCAAGACTCTGTCTCAAAAAATAAAAAAATAGGCCGGGCGTGGTGGCTCACACCTGAAATCCCAGCACTTGGGAGGCTGAGGTGGGAGGATCACCTGATGACAGGAATTCGAGACCAGCCTGGCCAACATGATGAAACCCTGTCTCTACTAAAATTACAAAAAAATTAGCTGGGTGCAGTGGCGGGCACCTGTAGTCCCAGTTGTTTGGGAGGCTGAGGCAGGAGAATTGCTTGAACCTGGGAGGCGGAGGTTGTCGTGAGCCAACATCGCACCACTGCACTCCAGCCTGGGCAACATAGAGAGACTCTGTCTCACAAAAATAAATAGGTCAGGCGCGTGGCTCATGCCTGTAATTCCAGCACTTTGGGAGGCCGAGGCGGGCAGATCACGAGGTCTAGGAGTTCGAGACCAGCCTGGCCAATATGGTGACACCCCTTCTCTACTAAAAATACAAAAATTAGCCAGGCGTGGTGGCTGGCACCTGTAGTCCCAGCTAGTTGGGAGGCTGAGGCAGAAGAATCGCTTGAACCCAGGAGGCGGAGGTTGCAGTGAGCCGAGATTTTGACACTGCACTCCAGCCTGGGTGACAGAGCAAGACTCCATCTAAAAACTAAAAAAATTTTTTAAATAATAAATAAATAAATAAAATAAAATAAAATAAAATAAAATAAAATAAAATAAAATGTGGCCAGATGCTGTGGCTCACCGCCTATAATCCTAGCACTTTGGGAAGTTGAGGTGGGTGGATTGCTTGATCTCAGGAGTACAGACCAGCCTAAGCAACATAGTGAGACCTCATCTCAATAAATAAATAAATAGGCTGGGTACAGTGGCTCACGCCTGTAATCCCAGCACTTTGGGAGGCTGAGGTGGGTGGATCACTTGACATCAGGAGTTCCAGACCAGCCTTGCCAACACGGTGAAACCCCATCTCTACTAAAAATACAAAAATGGCTGGGCATGGTGGCGCACACC